CATTCGTAGAACACAACATGATTTAGTATATTGATTAAGCCCATTATACTCCAACATAATGATAGCGAACATTATACATTAATGTATAACGAAAGAGCGTGTTATGTTGGAGCATACTGATTGAGCATGTATCATTCTTCAACATAACCACATAATCCTCAAGAATGTTATATTTACTCTGATTAATGTCAGATTTTATTTCTTAGTCATTATTTTATTTTGTTGGGGGCTAAGAAAATCTGTTTTCTTGGAAGATAATTATTATTATTTTTGTTAACTATATTATCCGCGGCGATGTCTTAAATTGTACTACATAAAAAAACAAAAAAGAACTTCAAATGGGAATGAGGCTACAGCCTCAACTTGACGAGATTTAGTAATACAAAATTTATAAAATTAAATTTAGCTTGAAAACATGTTGATTAGTTGTAAGATAAATTTGGAGTGTGTCCTGCACTCCGTTGCCGGGGTGGCCTGATGGCCTCAGAATTTTTATTTTTGTTTTATTTTTTATCAACATTTAGGTATGTCTGCATTTATGCAGCTGCCCTAGACTATATGAAGGGGAGTACAGCGTGTGTCAAAAAAAATTAGCTTCGTGATGCTAAAATCCCCATCACACAGGATGGTTAGTCATACAGAGGCATGTGATAAGTATAAGATAAGCACTGGCAAACTCTAGGTGCATTATGAGAATATCCTCAAGAACACGAGTGAATAAACTAATTGCAAAGCTTCAGGTATCTCATGCCAATGGGTCTGAATGGTCTGATAACTGGGCATTCGGTGATGTAGTGTGCAAGATCATGTCCCAGTTCCTGTTCACAGAGTTTACACCTAGGGTGCTCAGAATTGGGAGGTCCGTTACCTGTAGCCTGTAACCCAACCTGATCCTGGCAACCACTGTGTCGCACAACAGTCTGGTGGACGTTTTGTGCTGCCCATAAACATAGGTTTCAGATCTAATCAAATCTGGCTGAGGGGAAGCAGCCTGGATTAGGTACCAGCAGAAACTCCCAGTAGACCAGTAGTTTTCCCAGTAGGAAAAGTGTAGGGATTTCCCAGTAAGTGTAGGAACCTGACAGCTGAGTGGTCCGCGCTTCGGATTCGTAGTTCTGAGGTTCCGGGTTCGATTCCCGGTGAAGGCGGATACAAATGGCCAGAGTTCCTTTCACCCTGATGCTCATGTTCACCTAGCAGTAAATAGGTACCTGGTAGTTAGACAGCTGCTGCGGGCTGCTTCCTGGGAATGTGTAACAAAAAGGAGGCCTGGTCGAGGACCGGGCTGCGGAGACGCTATGCCCCGAAATCATCTCAAGATAACATCAAGGCCACTCCAAGTAGGCTACTTCCCAGCAGGCCACTCCCAGCAGGTCACTCTTACGAAGCCACTCCCAATAGGCTACTCTCAGCAGGGCCACTCCCTCCAGGTCACTCCCACCAGGCCACCCCCACCAGGCCACTCCCAGTAGGTCACTACCACCAGGCTCAGCAGGTCATTGCCACAGCTGAAATATGTAAAGAGAAAAACAAATTAGATGATACCATTTGAAAGGCATATTAGAATTCTGAGCTCATAGCTCCAAGATCGTGTAAATTAATATTTTAATGCAGTATAGACCTTTCCAAGAAGCCTTATATATATATATATATATATATATATATATATATATATATATATATATATATATATATATATATATATATATATATATATATATATATATATATATATATATATATATATATATATATATATATATATATATATATATATATATATATATTATATATATATATCCCCTTACATATTGCAAAAAGGTCCCCCAATGGGACTTAGTCCCCAGTTTGGAAACAAAGATTTAATGAATTGAAATATAAATAAAGCAATATTTATTTTGAAAATATAATGTATTCATAATAATGTGTAATTTTTAAATAAAGAAATCAAAATATAAAAATCACCAGCTTCGTGAAATATCTGTCGAGGTTCAGATATTTGGAAGCGTAGGCAAGGAACAATATAATTTTTGAACTTTATTTTCTTTCAGAATCAGTGGCTTCATTTAAGAAATGTGTCGAGGTTTCTGTTGTCTCCATAGTAATATATGTACTCAGGGTCGGTCTATAGGGAACACCCGGTTTCCTCACATCGAAACGAAGAAAGCTTCACCCCTGAGAGTCCATGTAACCAATGTCAGCAACGGGTTGCACTTCTAATTTGTTTTCGCTCTATTAAATAGTATACAATAAAAAGGCTAAAAAAAATGGCTCCCTACACTTGCACCAGAGGTGGTACCCTATATATAAAAAAATAAAAATAAAAAGGCTATATATAAATCAATTTACAATGGAAATACTACATTATTCTCTCAAGATAATCAAGATCAGGATAACATTACATATAGTTTATATAATTCTCAGTAAACCAATGTTTTATATCAACAAAGAGCATAAGCCTTAGACTCCAAAATGTTATAATGATCCTGCCTTGCAAGAACTTCAGTATTTTGCAGATGAAAGTTACAATACGGTGGCTGAAAAATGTTGACCAAACCACACACTAGAAATTGAAAAGACTACGACGTTCAATATTTTGTCTACTGAGTTTTTAAGTGGACATTACACACAATGCTTAATAGCTGATGATTTTACATTTGTTATATCAAGTTAAAGGATGGCGAAATTAAGCATTAACATATCAACGAGACTGCGAACAAATATATTTATAAGCTTGCAAAAATTTATGAAAATTATATAATACTTTCTTTAGAATGACATAGACAAACAAGCAAACATAATATTTTAATAGGCTTTCTAATTCAGTTAACAAAAAAGGATAGATGTAGGTCTATAGCGGTCACTGCTACCCCACCTCCAGACTAACCCCACTCAACAATAAACCATTTCACTTAAATACAGTGACTAACTTTTGTATTACTTTAGCCTTGTGAGCACAACTGATCAGCCTAGAAATCCTTAGGTAAGACTTACGTGCTTGAGACAAACGGGATATTAACATGAACTTAATCATAACCTAGTCATCTACGTTACTTCAAATTAGCCAAACGTCGTGGTTTCTGTAAACGGTTTGTTCCTGGATTTATAAGCTTATCCTTCCCGTCGGGCCCTCTACCTGGCAGTCACTAAGTCATTTCTTGAGTGTAATTTAAAAGGTGATCTATATTTGTTCTTCGCATGGGGTCTGTTTGTTTAGTCTTCGTAATTAGTCTGGTCTTCTCGAGTGGTCTATTTATTTTAACAAGTGTTGAGTCTCTGACCTTCTCAAGTGGTCTGCCTTTCGCTTCACAGTCGTGTGTGCGCCCTGCACAAAAGGTCTCTGTCCCTGACAGTCATGGTTAGCCTGGGTAGGTGACCTATGTCCTGCACCACAACACCATGTTAGGACGCAGCGTCAAAGAACCACACCATCTGGTAGCATATCCACATGGTCAGCTTAATCAAAGGCCATAGAGTAACACCAGATACAATGACTGGACAAAAACCAGTCGTTGGGATGGAGATAACTTTTGCTTCAAAAAATAAAAAAAATAAGTTTCATGCCAATTTCGTATATAACATTTTACAGAGAAATGTTATCAAATATTTTAATAGACTATAGGAAATTGAATAAAATCTATTTACTCTTTACAATGTTATAAAGAAAATCGAGATTGAAAAGGTTTTATGACGAAACGAGGAAATCTTTGACCAACGGACTCACGAGTTTCTGCCTGTTATTTTCCAAAAGTGAGAGAGAGAGAGAGAGAGAGAGGGGGTACCACATCTGGTGCAGTTGTAGGAACCCACAGCCTCAAAGAAGGGAACACAGAGCATTCAGAGAAAAAAGCGCCATATAACTTTGAATACGTATGAGTGTTCACTTCTACCACCTCCTATTTATATATTTTGTACACTTTAGTTACATATCTGATTGTCTACAAAATGAGAACATTAAGAGGAAATAAGGAGAAGTTTGTTTCGTAGATGCTGAAGGTTTCTTCGAATTCCTCCGACGCCGGGCAGGAACCAAGGATACAGCGGGCATTCCCCATATTATATATATTATATATATATATATATATATATATATATATATATATATATATATATATGTCGTACCTAGTAGCCAGAACTCACTTTTCAGCCTACTTTGCGAGGCCCGATTTGCCTAATAAGCCAAGTTTTCATGAATTTATTGTTTTTCGACTACCTAACCTACCTAACCTAACCTAACCTAACTTTTTCGGCTACCTAACCTAACCTAACCTATAAAGATAGGTTAGGTTAGGTTAGGTAGGGTTGGTTAGGTTCGGTCATATATCTACGTTAATTTTAACTCCAATAAAAAAAAATTGACCTCATACATAATGAAATGGGTAGCTTTATCATTTCATAAGAAATAAAATAGAGAAAATATATTAATTTAGGAAAACTTGGCTTATTAGGCAAATCGGGCCTTGCATAGTAGGCTGAGAAGTGAGTTCTGGCTACTTGGTACGACATATATATATATATATATATATATATATATATATATATATATATATATATATATATATATATATATATATATATATATATATATATATATATGAAAGGGGTCCACTATCACTCACAGGAGTGAGTATGGGGTTTACTTCCACTCACAGGGTGAGTATGGGGTCCACTACTACATAGGAGATGGTTATAGGGTCCATTACCACCCACTGGATGAGTATTGGTTCCACTACCATTCACAGGGTGGGTATGGGGTCCACATCCACTCACAGCATGAGTATAGGATCTACTACCACTTACCAGATGGGTATGGGGTTTACTACCACTCATAGGATGGGTCTGAGGTCCACTTCCACACACACACACACACACGAACATAAGTCAAACGCTAAAATAATCCATAACCAGTACTGCCTGAATGACCAAGTAGTCGGGCCCAAAGTGTGGCCGTGAGGTGTGAGGACAAGGTAGGGAAGTGTGGTATGAGGGTGTGTGTGTGTAGGAAGTGAGGGAGGGAGTATAATGGTACCTGGCACCCAGAGCGTCCCGCACTGTGGCAGGTGAGAGCGGCCACCCGGGTCAGTGTTTCTGGAGGCATGTTTGCGTGTGTAGTGACGCTCCTCGCTCTCTCCGCCTTCTCTATAGGTAAGATGCAGCTCTTTGCTCATTTTCTCTAGTAAGAATTAAAGGAAGTGAGTATTGTTTTGTTACTAATTGAACAAAATTTCACCCAAGAACAATGGCGCAATTTAAAAAGAATAAGTTTTAGCCTAATTTGAAAGTTTTCTCAAGTATAGCCTCTACGGTTACAAGAGAAACTAGTTTGAAAGTTCACTTTCAGTATGACCGTCTTTTGATTTCTCTATGAATGGGTGTGCGAGGCCCGCCTGTCATTATTCAACCCGTCCTCTCCAATTACCAAAACGGACAGAAAATTGTGTACTAAAACATATGATGATAAAAAAAAAAAACAGCGAGAAAGCCATGAGGCTGAGTCTTGAGTCGCTCACTGTGTACCTGGAAATCAGTCTTATCTGTAATCTTAGACGATAACGCTCAGGTGAGATAACACCTGGCTTAGTTACAACTGCGGAATGGAAGGTTGTGTGTGCGTTCTGTTCTTGAGAGGAGTGGGAGGCTAGGAATATTTTTATATGATCACGTGATAACCGCCCTGGAAGAATATTGTTATATGATCACATGATAACCGCCTTGGAAGAATATTGTTACATGATCACATGATAACCGCCCTGGAGGAATATTGTTATATGATCACATGATAACCGCCTTGGAAGAATATTGTTACATGATCACATGATAACCGCCCTGGAGGAATATTGTTACATGATCACATGATAACCGCCCTGGAAAAATATTGTTACATGATCACATGATAACCGCCTTGGAAGAATATTGTTATATGATCACATGATAACCGCCCTGGAGGAATATTGTTATATGATCACATGATAACCGCCTTGGAGCAATATTGTTACATGATCACGTGATAACCGCTCTCGTGTGTCCTGTTCAGTTTTTGTTGTTGTTCATACCAATAGTTCAAGGATTTGCTGATATTTACATTACAAAATGTATTACTAAGAAGATCAAATAAAATGGGAGAACCCAGATGATCGAAGTTGGCCAATTCTTCCCGTGCACATCAATGATATATAAAAATTTGAGAAAATAATTAATTTTTTATACTGCTCATTGTAAAAATATGTTTTGCAAATGTTAATTTTTTTTATCACGTACGACGGCCAAATAATAAGTACAGGAATATCATGGTGGAGGCTACATCATGTGAGTACCGTGGTGGCGGCTACATCATGTGAGTACCGTGGTGGCGGCTACATCATGTGAGTACCGTGGTGGCGGCTACATCATGTGAGTACCGTGGTGGCGGCTACATCATGTGAGTACCGTGGTGGCGGCTACATCATGTGAGTACCGTGGTGGCGGCTACATCATGTGAGTACCGTGGTGGCGGCTACATCATGTGAGTACCGTGGTGGCGGCTACATCATGTGAGCACCGTGGCTGACGCTAGATCATGTGAGTTGGATGGAGCCAGTAGTGCCAACCTTCTCTTTGCTGACTCATTCACCGCCCTAACCTCACTCTCCACATTTATTGTGAAATAAATTTGGAACACCTTCCAAATGTTCTTAGATTAATGCAGTGACATATTTCTCACGCTTTTATCATCTTGTTCATTTTAAAATTTGAATCATATTAGCTTCAACGACTTCTACGTTTAACTTATTCCATGTATTAACAGCTCTAACACTGAAAAGCGTTCTTTCTGACGTCTCAGATTCATTTGCGTCTCGAATTTCCATTTATGACTCATCGTCCTGCTGTTTCTAGCTTGAACAACGCTTCTTTGTCTATTTTGTTAGTTTTCCCTAGAAGCATATGTTATTCCCCCACCCCCGCTTCCCCTATATATTCTTTCCTCGGGTGTGGTAAGGCCCAGTTCTCTCAGTCTGTATATACGTTAGACCCAGTAATTACTTTAAATAATCTTTGAAGAGTTAATTTTTCAACTTCCTTTTCAAGTAAATCTAAGTATATGGGAAGCACAAAATGTGTACCAGACAGTGCGGCATATGCGTCATAGTAGTTACTAGTATCAGGTTGGGTTACCGTTACTTGTGGTAGGTAACTACAGGTGACGAACCTCCCAATCCAGAGCATTCCAGGTGCAAACTCTGTGCAAGAACTGGATCGTGATCTCTCACACACAACATTATTGAATGCCCAGTCATTAGACCCTTCACATCTACCGGCATGAAGTACCTGGAGCGTTGCAATCACTAATATTAATTCTCAGGTTCTTTAGAATATCCTCATAATGCACGCAAAATTTGCCAGTGCAGGCTACTGACCATATGGCCCTGTATGACTAACATCTTCCGAGATGGGGACATTTTAGTATTACTGCTACCTTATTCACTCGTGTTCTAGAGGATATCCTCATAATGCACTCAATGTTTGCTAGATCACATGGCCCTTTATGACTAACCTTCTTGTGTGATGGGGATTTGTTAGCATCACGTAGCTAGTTCTTGATACACTGTACTCCCCTTCATATAGTCTAGGACAGCAGCACAAATGCAACTGTTCCTAAATGTGTTAATAAAAAATAAGTTCTAAGCGAAGAACATAAATACAGAGAAGATTCTTGCTAGAATATTGAATCTAGCCATTTCAGTCATATTGAATAATATGTCTACAAGAAAGATGGATTACAAAATATATACATACATATATTTGTATATATTTCATCCATTTGGTGTATCAGGGTGACGCACTTTTGTACAGGAAGTACCAAGCAAGCGCCCTAACCATTACACCAGTGCCCTCTGAAAGAAGGTCGGCGAATATGTGTTGCCATGTCTCTCTTGTAACTTCTCCGGGCACCACGAATAATTGTAATCCTCTTCGGGCACCATCACTTCTCTATGACACGTCATAAATTGCAAACCACTGTGGTTTATAGTTTATATGATTTGTAAATGGAGATTTTAATGCTGGGTGAAGTAGCGATAGTCCAGCACCACCTCCCGGCCAGCCTCCCAGAATGTCAACAGCCTCACCCCACTCCAAGCCTGGCCTGGGGCTCGGGAACCCCCCAACCATACCCTCGCTATCTGCTCGGAAGCTCTTTGGAAAGTTATAATAAAAAACTAAATGCCAGATGTAATTTTGTTGAAGATAAGATAAACAATGAGATCGAGAACATTTCTTAGGTATAAATGAGTCGGCACTCGTCATGGCAGTAACTTAGAATTTCTTCGAGAAATATTTAAAATTACGAAAATTTATCACCAATATTTTTCTTTCGATTTACAAAAATATGAAAGACCAGACCGGACAGAACTTTACCAACATGTCAATTATGTTTATCTCAGCAACTAAGCCTTCAAATGTACAATATATCAACAGACTTTTCACTCCTAGACAGAAAAACCAGACATAAATGCTTCAAATATTGCCTCTACAATATTCTCATTTTTACTTAAATAATAGTTATTAAAATAATTAATTATGTGATGCTTGTTAATTAATATATTTTATGACTATATATATGTCATAAATTACATATGACATATATAGTCATACATTTTATGACTAAAATTATATTAATATAACCACTCGTGTCAGACCGCATTTGAAACAGGTACAATTAAAAAAATGATGTAGACATTTATATATTAATATATATGTATAAAGAGGCAACTTTATGACGATTCTGTTATTTAGATAGAGTTATGGATGTATTTAAGTACGCAAGTGTAAAATTTGGTGGGTTATGAATCAGAGTTTATATCTCCTCTAGACTTCGGCTTCTGTCATGGTGGAGCGCTGTCACTCAGCTGTTTTCACTGAGGTTTTCACTAATGAAGCAAGAGCAGTTGGTCTTGTGTGTGACCTCCGGGGTGGAGAGGGAGGGGGGGGGTGTCACGAGTGATGGTGTGGAGCAAGGTCTCCCACCTGACTCCACTCTCACCCACACCTCGCATGAACTTCATTGAACACCTCACCCCCAACCACGCACCCTACTCGTGCACCTTAAGCACACCTCACCCTAAACACTAGCCACCCACGCACACCTTAGTTACACTAAAATATAAATCTGAAATCTTAGTGTATGTTAAGATTGGAATTGATTATTGTTCAACAATCATTAGAGTTGAGCTACATCATGGTATACAATTATCTCAAATTCACAAAAGATGAACAGAGAGAGAGAGAGAGATGGTTGTGACATCGTGTATGTCACAACCATCGCGGAGTTAACGCCCAATAAAACTGGATTAGGCGAAGGTTATTTTGTACGACAAACACAAACTGGTCAAAATTTAGGGCATCAGTATCACATGTATATAATAACTAGTTGTTTAGTGACGAGACACATATACAGAGGGTGTACCTCACTTCTCTGTGTATATACACTGAACATTTACTTTAATCACTCCTTCTGAAGATGTATTAATATACGGAAGTATTTAAGGAAATTCCTGTTTCAATTTTCCTCCGTGGTCTGACACTGTCACATTTTTAATCACGTGTTTATTTTTCGTGATTTACACACATTTACTTTAATCCTGGACTGCGTTTAGGACTAAAGTAGCCTAGTTGGTTCGTTAGTAAGCCAGTGTGGTGGGGCCTCCAAAGGTTGGTAGGCCTTAAGCCCAACACCCAAGCCATTGACTAGTGCCATGCTGCACAAGCGCAGTGTGGTTATTCTCTTCTGTTTCTCTGCAATTCATACACTTGCCAAACTCCTCCTTATTGTAGGGAAAACCTGCACTCATCGCTAGTATGAGGGCCAATGTTTGCAGGTAGTGTGAGTGCGATGAAGAAAATGTAGTTCCCCGTCAGACTCCTTTATATTCTGACATTAAACCTGCATGATCTCGACTACAGAAGGATTACAGCGGTATAATTAACCTACAACACTCCTCACGTAAGAGAAATCTGGCACAGCATCATCATACGGTCCATGTGCAACACTACCTATCCCATCTGCAATTAAGAGTGATGGGAGTCATTCACATCGACTCTAACCTGCTCGTCCAGAATGGTCACATCGTCCAGGTCTGACAAACATCCGCCTCATTGCTCAAATATAG